GAACAGACCCCCGATATCTATCCCGGTTCATGTGATTTAAAATAGACCCCCAATTCCCAGTTCATGTAGTTGAAGATAGACTCTCAATATCTCAGTTCATGTGATGTAAAATGGATCCCCGATATCCCAGTTCGTGTGGGTTGAAATGAACCCCCAGTATTCCAGAGCTAAAGATTGACCCCCGATATCCCATACTTTGAAATTAACTTCAAATGTCCCAGGGTGTGGGGTGTTCAATGGGAATGGCTTTTAGTGTCCTGAGTAAGGTATTAAACTCTTGCCGAGACAAAAAGAAGAAGAAGAAGAAGAAGAAGGAGGAGGAGGAGGAGGGAAAGATACCGGAGTGTCTTCTTCCCTCTCTCAGTCCGTCCCGGGAGAGAGAGAGGGGGGGGGGAGATGGGGAGGGGGCAGACAGCTGTAATTAGGGACTAAAAGGAAGACAGGGTCAGTCCTTTAAAGGTTCAGATGACATGAAAACTGTTGGAACATTGTAATTTGAAACCTAGTTTATCTTATCGTCTCCTCTGTGATAGTCGTTTTTATCGTGTCCTCTGATTGGTCATTTTCACGCCGCGTTAACTGCAGCGCAAGATTAATGTATGAGGACCGTGGAAGTGACCTAATCACTTTCGTTGTCCCACGCAGGAGCCTCCAGTTCGATTCCCGAGTATCTCGGTTTTTCTGCTGGGTTTCTTTCCCCTCTCAACGTACTTCTGAATAATCTAGTTTTTGTTGATGCCATGGGGGCGTAAAAACACATACATTTAAAAACTAAGTTTACTTAAAATTTGCGTTGACACATTGCACTACCTTAGAATTACAAAGTGTCTGATATTTTCAGCCGTTTTGAGTTGCTTAGACCATGACGTCAGGCACCAACTACATGTATTCTGTTTGCTCTATCAAAATGGTAAGATTATTTGGAGTTGCATTAGAACAAGCTTGACTTGTTGTGAAACCCCATTTTTTCCACGTCTGATTTCTAAAAACTGAGTATTGAGCAGATGGAACCTAGTTATTCTCTGGTAATGATTGGTCACAATATGAAATTTACCCTCCCCCCCCCCCCCCCACCACCCCCTTCCTATATTCTTTCAGGTATGGTTTCGGCGACAGCCGGCGTCCTTCTCCCGAGACTGCTGCTCTTGTGGAGGAGATAGTCCACCAGCACATGGTTGCTATGGTGAGTTGTTGTTGTTGTTGGTGGTGGTCGTCGTGGTGGTGGTGGTGGTTTATGTTCTTGTTGTTAATGATGTTCATGTTGTTGTTGTTGTTGTTGTTGTTCTCGTAATTCATGTTTTTGGTGTTGTTAATGTTATTGTTGTTGTTGTTGTTGTTGTTGTTGTTGTTGTTGTTGTTGTTGTTGACATGCACAGTGTATAGCCGCGATAACTGATCTTGCTTTCTGCCATTCAATATTCTACCAGGTTTGACCGAAGGAATTTTCAATAAGACATCACTACTAAAATGTCAGATGAACTCGAAAAGTAAACGTGTCCCATGGAGAAATCGTGGCGTCAGTACAACGTATGAAAGCACTCTCATGCAAGGCTTCAAAATGTCCTTGGTGCCCTCCTACAACAGACACAAAGTACCCTAAAAAATATTAGGCTACCTGTAATTAATTGGCCCCAACATAATTTTTTTTACCCAGCTCGCTTTGATGTGGTCTCGTGGAATAATTTTCGGTGCCAATCCATTAAATGGTCTAATAGGGGTAGTAGGATTAGGATAGGTTAGGATTAATAGAGGCAGGGAGTTAGGTTAAGTGGCTTTACCATTGCCTTTTGTCCAAATGGCACCACTCAAGTAGACCCTGGTCGATCAGGTGGGACTTACTGTAGGGCAGGTTTTCTCGTTAGACCGTTTAATGGACAGGCACTGATTTTCTCCCCATGATCCTCTGATACCGATATTAATCCAGGTACCACGTGCCCCACGACCACCTGACGTGTTAAATTATATTTTTGCTAAAATTACTTTGTTTTACCAACTGCTTTTTTTTTTTTTTAACTTTCAGATCCATCAAGCATCTGAAGTGGCAACCATGAGAGGCGACAAGGCAATCTCTATAGAGGACATTCTTTTCCTCCTGAGGAAAGACAAGGTAGGAAGCATAGCGTTTGTTTAAATTCATGTTTGTATAGTAAATGTTTTACATGCTCATATAACCTGGTGCAATTGCTAGGGCTGTAAAACTTTTAACAAGCAAGAACTCGCATCAACACAATTTAGATCATTTAGGAGGCGAGCTGTTTCGAGCCTGCCCCTTTGAACCAACCAGAGATGAATGAGACACAACATTCCAGCGGTCAGATATAAAAATAAACACTCAAAAACTCCCCCATTAAAAACTTAAGCTCATGTCTTCTGGATCTGGTGCAATCATCCAGTCTGTAAAATGTCTGCTAATCTGTCAGCGTGTCATTTTTCATCGTGTCTGTAAATGTCTGTCAGTGTCAATTGCAATCTTGTGTATTATTGTCTGTCAATGCAATCAATCATTTTGTCCGTAAACATCTGTCAGTGTCATCTGTCATCTTTTTTGTAAATGTCTGTGTGTGCCATCTGCCATATTGTCTGTAAATGTCTGTGTGTGCCATCTATCATCTTGTCTGTAAATGTCTGTTTGTGACATATGTCATATTTTGTGTAAATGTCTGTCAGTGCCATCTATTATCTTGGTGCTAAACACCTGTCAATGTCTTCTATCGTCTTGTCTGTAAACATCTGTCAATGTCGTCTGTCATCTGGTCTGTAAACATCCGTCAGTGTGTCATTTTTTCATCAGGTCTGTAAACATCTGTGTGTGTTTGTCATCTGTCATATTGTCTGTTAACATCTGTCTGTGTCATCTATTGTCTTGTCTTTAAACATCTGTCTGTGTGGGTGGTTGGCGAGTGTGTTTTGCTTCTTCTTTCCTGTCAAACATCTATCGCCCTTATCTCCCCTTCTTTTTTATGTTTGTTACTCTCTTGTAACACCTCTAATCTTCTGGCGCTCATATGACCTTATGCAGTTGTGATCGCGGTAAAACCTCTACTAAAAAAACATCTGTCAGTGTCATCTATCTTCTTGTCTGTAGACATCTGCCAATGCCATCTACCATCTGCTTGTCTGTAAACATCTGTCAGTGTCGTCTGTCATCTTGTCTGTAACATCTGCCAATATCGTCTGTCATCTTGTCTATAACATCTGCCAATATCGTCTGTCCTCTTGTCTGTAAACATCTGTCAGTGTCAGTGTCGTCTGTCATCTTGTCTGTAAACATCTGTGTGTGCCATCTGTCATATTGTGTGTAAATGTATGTCAGTGTCATCTATTATCTTGTTGGTAAACATCTGCCAATATCGTCTGTCATCTTGTCTGTAACATCCGTCAGTGCCATCTATTATCTTGTTGGTAAACATCTACCAATGTCGTCTGTCATCTTGTCTGTAAAGATATGTCAGTGTCATCTATCATCTTGTCTGTAAAGATATGTCAGTGTCATCTATCATCTTGTCTGTAAACATCTGTTTGTGTGGTCTGTCATCCTGTCTACAGGTGAAGCTCAAACGTCTCCTACAGTACTACGAGGTCCAGGACTTGAAGAATGTCGTCAAAAGCTCCTTGGGCGGGAGTGAGGACCCAAAACTGGACGTCAATATGGGTAATTTGGGGGGTTGACGGCGTATTACTGCATGAGCAGAATCATGGAACAATATCTGATCTGTCTCATGTTTCAAGTACATTGTATTGTAACATATTTTTGGCATTAATAATATATATTAAATAGCATTTGTATAGCACAAATTCCCACTAAGTAACAAGCTCTTGCTTTACAATCTATAATCGCATTCTGAAACAATCTCAGCTTCCTTGGAAACACATAATTTACTTCTTTTGCTCCTGCTGCTTTGAGGGGGGTGTGTGTGTGAGGAGGGGGGGGGGACTACTGATAAGTCCTACGTCTTTATTTTCGCTCTATTGTTACTGTCAGAGTTTGAGGATTTAAGTCTGATTTGGTTCAGGTTTTGTTTTTGCATTTTGTCTTTATTTGTGTATGGTATAAATGCTATTTATTATGGATGTCTCTCAGTCGACTGGTAATCAGACCAGGTTTGTAGAAACACAATCAGACATGATTACTATATTAAAGGACTGGCCGAAAATATACTGTCACTTTGAGCCATGTTCTGTTTTATTTTTAAATGTAGATGTTCTTACGCCCCCATCAACACAGTTTAGATCATTTAGGTGATGGGCTTTGACCCTGCCTGACAGGGCCAACCTGGGCTGAGGAGGATACAGCTTACCAGTAAAAAGACCAAGATACTCCTACAAATATTCTTCCCGAATGGTAATAGAACTCGGGTCTTTTGCATGCAGCAGCAAAGCATCTAACTGCAACACCACAGATGGCGATTCATCATGTTTTGTGCACCCATAAAGTTCAAACATGGCTCTGCAATCCAGAAAGTATATGTATTCAGATGTTCAAAGTGCACATGGGGTCTGAATTTTTACTGATATTCCAACTTCTCTTTTGTTATCGCTCAGAGTTGAATTGCTTACCATTACCATGGTAATGATCTAGCCGATTCTAGCCTGTATTCCACAGAGCATTTAAGTTTAGCGGAACTATACAAACTGACTTATTTCTTCAATATCCCAACAGGATTGGATAAACGTGCGATGGGCAAGAACCGCAGAGTTTGTTACGAGTTTCTCTCTTCCATTGACCAGACTGGTGAGTGTGACTTTCTTGTACAGGCAAGACTGATTGAAACTGGAAAGACGGGAGACAAAAGAAGCAGAGGTAGACCAAGAATAGTTGAACTAATGAGAAAAGACCAGGATAATGTTTTGTTGAGAACATCCGAGCATAGGAATAGTGAGGGGCGAACCATGCTTGCCAATGTCTGTTTCAGATTTTGCACTTTGAAGAGATAGGGAAGAGAATTTGGTTGATTGGTGTGTTGTTTTGTTTTTCCTACTTCTTTTTTGTGTTACTCTTATCATTGTCTCTTCATGGCAGAACAAAGAGATTTTTGTAGAGTTGTTGGTTGTTAAATACACTCAGACAATCTACAAACATAACTGATGTTTTACATACTTTGTTCAGAATCGATGTAGAAATATTTTGTCTCCAATTCATATATATTCTAAAACACTTTATGAAACTAGTCAGACCTTAATGGTGTCTTGATTTGAAGCTCCTCAAGAAAAAAATTGTCTCTGTGCTTTTTGGATTCTGATAACTATTATAATACATAAATGGAAAAGGAGAAAGCTTCCAAGAAGACAACGTTTTATGTGTGTACCTCAGAAGGAACAGACAGATATAATAGTAAACTTGGAGGTATAGATGAAAGCAATGCTAAGAGGACAATGTTTTGTGTGTGTATTTCAGGAGAGCTGTTGGCATTGTTCGATGACAGAGAGCCAGATGTAGTCAAACATGAGAGGCTTGTGGTAAGGAGACTTTTGGACATGGTGCTGTAATTTTTGAAAGTTTTACTTTGTTTTTTTTCTATCTGTTTAATGTATACAGGAGAATGGTATTTACAGTATAGCATGCACATATAAAAAAAAAACCGCATAGCAAACAGATTTTTCAGGTCCTGTACTTTGTTCTTATGTTCTTTGTACAGGTATTCAAAACATGCGTATAGTTTAAAGAATTGTACACATAACAAAAAGAAAAATTATAATCAGCGAGGGCAGATTAAATTAAACATGACAGCAAAATGTGTTTACTGAAATTGAAGTAGCCTTGATGAGAGAGAGAGAGATAGAGAGAGAGAGAGAGAGAGAGAGGGGGGGGGGCATGGCAATAGTGCTGGCCAAGGACGTGTTTACTGCAAATAAATGTTTAGCTGTAGATCTAGTCTGTACACCTCAGTAGAGAGTGAGGAGTCTGTGGTCGTGCTGCCTCATCAACAGAGATAATCATAATGCAACAGCTTGCCGGTGTCCTGCAAAGTTGAGTCTAGACGAAGTTATAGTTGACCGCAGCCTGCTCCCCCCCCCCCCCTTCCATCCTTCCACTCGGTTGACCTTTTCAACCATTGCGCACAACATCTGGGATCACATTGAGGTCACAGGTATGTTTCCCAGAAACGGTGCGCTGTAATTTTCATGATGCCAGAAGACGTGACCGACTGAAACGTAATTTCTTGGAAAAAGTAAATTAGTCACATACATGTATAGACTTGACCTTGTTCTCCCTCCTCAGAGGTCGGAGCTCCAGGCCCGAGGCATGGACACTCAGCAGTACATGGACTTCTGTCAGGCCAGACAGGCTAACTTTAGTAAGAACACCCTCACGCTTCTCTCAACTTCTCACTACTTTCTTATTTGGCTTGGGTTACTTATTGATTTATTTATTAAATTGCTTGCGCTCATTTATAAAATCATTCTATCCTCCATTTTGTTGACTGGAAGTTGTTGCGTGTTATTTTCATTCCATATATTATGTAATGATAATATATGTTAGTGATGGCGCAAATGAACTCCCTTTTTTGAGCTGGTGTGGGTGGGGCTTGATTTGCTGGGTAGTAAATTTTTTTTTGAGGTAGAACATTTTTTCAGCAAATATTGCTCGACACCCTGCATTTAGGAAGAAATAAATTACAACTGCAGATATTGGGACACTGATTCGACATAGAGGTTTTTAACATCTTGTTGTCACTAGAAAAATAGAAGGCAAACGAGGCAGGGGAAGACCCAGGGCAACTTACTAAAAAAACATTGACAGATGGGTGACGAAGAAAGAGAGAGAGGGAGAGAGAGAGAGAGAGCATCCAAGAAAAGAATGGTGAACAATGATTGCCAATGTCTGAGATCTGGCAAGTTAATCATTTTTTAGACAAGAAATGTCTGATAAAACTAATGTTGTCTGTATTAGATAAAAGAAAAACACAACTGAGGTTAAATTTAGACAGCAAAAGTTTAAACCCTACTTTTACTATAAGATTGTTTGTGAATACTGAGAATAGGCTTGGCATGGTATGATTCTGTTTCCTGCCTGGAGTTGGGATAAGAATAGTTACTCGATAGTACGATTGTCATGTACTCTGTTTCTGAATCCTAGCTTTTCAGTCGTTCTACGATGGCTTCACGGGTCTACAAGTGGGTCATAGGTGTTTGGAGAGGAGTAGCAAGAATTGAGAGCAAATCATTGCCTTTCATTAAAATTCTGATAAGATTTTAAATAAAATTTATCTGAGGGAACATTTTATCATTAATGCAAGAGATTTTAAAACTTTTTCTCTTTTTCTCTTTTACTTGTGGAGGGGGGGGGGAGGGTTGTTATTTGCTAGACATATTTGGGTTTTTATAAAAACAGTATTGGTGTACATTTTTTAAACATAATTGCTGCACTTTTTGTTTTCTAATTGATGCTATTATTTTGTTTTTTGTATTTGCCAGGTTTTTCTCTCTTATGAGATCAAATTTCCTTTCTAAGCTTGTGGCAATTGCAATATATACCGGTATATGTGTTTCTTCAGTGTTATAATTTCCACTTGACCACTTTCGACAGGCCGTCGATACAGTAAGTCTCAGCGGTTCCGTGACTGGCTACAGCTGAACCTCAGCCCGGACATCATGCTCAGTGCCACGGCCATCGACATCTTCAGCTATCTAGCGTATGAGTGTGTTGCTCAGGTAGGCATAGAGCATTACCATTCATTTTGTACCCAAATGTTTTCTGAAGGGCACTGTCAGTAAGCCTATAGTTTGAAGGGTGATAGGTTCATGAAATAGATGTGCTGTATGGGTTTGTTTGTTATAATGTGTTTGTGTTTTTACAATGTTATGTATATTATATTAAAATTTGTATTTTGTTTCACAAAAGGCTATTGAAAGCTTTTTGTCAATTTTTTTCCAATGAAAACAGATAAAGTATAACTAATCTTTCCTAATCACCAACTGCTTTTCATGCACAAATTATTATGTTTTCCCATCTTGTTTTTAAAATGGTTCAGTATGTTATTTCAGCTGTCAGAATAATATACAATTATGGTCTGGAGAAAAAAACTGCAGAAGGAAAGTAAGGGAGCTAATCCAACATTATAAATTATAAATGGAGAAGTCTGCTAGAGACAAGCAAAACATTATTGTAACTGGAGCTAGATGTTCAGTTCAGATATCTTTGAAGATGAATTGTTGACGACTTGTGCTCTTAAGGGAGTTTAAAGACAAAAGAAAAAGATGGGAATGTGGCCTTTTCCTCTTCTGAGTGTGTAACTTAACTGATTCCGTCCATGATTTTTTCAGGCTCTGGACAGAGTTATTTTTCCCTGCTCAGTTTTTGACCTGGGGTGCATCTATTTAATGCATTACTGTGAAGCTCTAAGTCACTCTTATAGGTATTGTCATATACCAAACTGATGGGAATAAATAGAAAAATCTGTTTATATCAATTACAATGACGTATAATCTGTTTGTATTACATTTTCCTTCTGACAAAAACGAATGAGGAAAAAAAATTGCGCTACAGCTCTTCGAAAATTTCGACTTACCGCATTTTCTCAGCTCTACAAGTCCTTATAGTAAATAGGAATCAACACAACATCGTAGCGATATCACCCTAGCACACATTTATGCAAGAATTTCACAAATTTAGTTGAATATCTTTCTTTGAAGGGCCTTTTTATTATACCAGGCTCCGTGTTGTTTACCCTTAGATCTAGCCTACATCGCAACAACAAAACAACGATTTTTGCAAGAATTTGGCAGAGTTTCAATCGAAATTGGCGCTCAGAGATTGAGGTCAAGTTTGTTTACAAGTTCTACTTCCTTTCGACAACTTAAAAAGTAGGAACTATGTTAAAAAGTGCACCTTTGTTTCGGATTTCGTTGAGCCGCTCACAGCGGCCGAATGGACGCAGCGGAAAAACTCAGAGCTGCTGTCAGCGGCCGAATGGACGGAATCAGTTAAGCGATTATAATCAAAGATACCTTGTTCATCAAGTTTTTGGACGGTACATAAAAAAAAAGGAGATTTTTTTTCTGTACGCTTATGGTCAATTTTCTCCCTCCCAGATCGTAGACCTGGCCCTGCTGGTCAAACAAGACCAGCGAGCTCGGCCCGGGGACCCGACAAGTCGCTACCACCCGCCGCTGAGCGTCAACTACGCCGAACTCCAGGCCAGCAGCTTGTACAACAAGGCAGACACCGCCGACCACTCACAGGTCAGACACACACAGGAGTCGCTACACGAGAATTACAAAGTTTTATCTGCACAGTACTTACCTAGTTTTGAGAAACTTGACGAGAATGATTATAAGTTTTACATCATGTCAAGTTTTTTCCGAATGCAATTCTATGAACATCTTTATAATGACTCAGAATAATACAAAAATAAAAGAGAGCCCATCTTGTTTCTTTGCAGGATGATATTCTGGTTTATTGTGTATTTGTAACTTGCCCATGAGAAGATAAGTGTTGATCTTATAGTCTTTTACTTTTATGTCTTAGATTTTTATAAAAGCGCCTTAGACTACTCAACTAATATCATCTCGGGGGAGGGGGGGGGGTAAAGAAGGTTATAATTATGAAAAAGGACTACCAGTAACCAGGAAATTTTTATCTTCTTAAGAGTCCACCATACGATAGCGTGACGGGGACTGGAAGTCAGCTGTCTGCCCAGCTCACCGGCACGCAAGCCACAGTCAATCTGGGCAACTCTCAGAGCTCCGCCGCCAACGCTCAGGCGGTCAGTGCCGCTCTGGGCCGCGCAGGCCTCAAGAAAAAACGCAAAAGGGTGAGGATTTTTTTTTCTGTTGTGCTGACAGATTTTTGTGTCCTCCCCACCCTTTTTTTTAGTTGTCTTAATTTGTTTACGTTTTTGTCTTGTGTTCCTTTTTTAAGTACCATGTGAAGATGGAATGACAAAAATGAAGTATAACACACACACACACACACACACACAAGTATATCATTTGCAGTTGCAGCCATTTCTTTTTTTAGAATGCCTAGGCTTTATTGTGATATTGTTTCTGTTCATTCAAAGAAGGGCACTGGTGTCAGTGTGTTTGCTCCTGGACTTATCTCTTAAACTTAAAGTTCTGCTAATTTTAATTTGTTTTTTAGATTTCCTTTGATGTGTGTATTCATGCAATTCCAAGTTAATGAAACACCAAAGGGAGAATACTGGTATATTAACTGTAATGGAACAGTTTTTCTTACTCCCTTCTGATTCTCCCTGTGATTTTAAAAAAAATTATTGTGCATTAATATATTATGCTTCCCTTCTGCTTTATCTTTTACATCTGTTCCGTCCATTTTGCACTGTGACTCATTTTGTATTTTATTTAGGTGAATTCCTTATTATGTAAAAATAAGGATACATGTCTAGCAAATGCAATGGCAATCCTTTGCTTCCATTTTTTGTAATAGGTTACTTACTTGGTACTACTTGGTTGGAGAATAGGTATCATTGCAGGCGGTTCAATGCCATATCTGCTCCTCCCTACTCTCCAGGATCCATGAAAGGGTTGTCCTTCTGATTGTGCCAGTTATCAGCTGTGTAATAGGTTACTTAGGACAAATAATATAATAGATTGTAGTAGGTTACTTGGGATATATATTTGTACCTTGAAAAATTCTGCTTAGCGGACTTTTATTATGTGAAAGGAATATTATGTTATGATGAAATGTGAACGTTGATCTGCGCAGAGTGGGCCTGCGACTGCCCTGGAGGTCTCCTGGGATAGCACCATCATGCCCAGTGATGTACGAGAGGCCATACGCAGATACTACACAGACATCGGACCCTTTGCATCCAGTATGGTAAGTCATTTGTGGTAGGCGCAGAAGTGAGGCTAGGTAAATTGTTGTAATACCTTGCTGGGTTTTTTCTTAGGTTATTGTGCTGTCTCTCTATTCACTATATATGTCAAGATGTGATGGAAACAGACAATTGTCTATTTTGGGGCCTGTGGAGTTATTGGTACTTGCTTTCGATTTTTTAAAAATACCCATCTATCTTGAATTGGCGATTAAAGGAGATGCCTGGTTTCAGAGGTAAAAATAGTGAGAGAATGACTGTCAAAATTCGGTGACTTCTACAACTTGAGAGTCTTACGAAACTGGAAATTTTAATTTTGTGTGCCTTTAATCAACGGGGGTTTTTTTGTGTGTAAAATCCTCATAGAAATGTGCTTTTATCTATATATATATATATCGATATAAAAGGTGTTGGGCCAAAAATCAAATTTTTGAGGAAAATTGCCAACCTGGCGCAAAAATGCCAGTTTCTTGAATTTCATTATTTTGACAAGCGCCTGATTTCACCACAATTGTTTGTGGCCTGTATCCTGATCCAGGGTGAGAAAGGCAATGATGATAATGATGATGATTTCACCACGATGCCTCACTTATTGATGTAATTGAAGATGTTTTATGCTCCTATCGACACAGTTTAGATCATTTAGGAGACCAGCTGCTTCGTCCCTGCCCGTTCGGCCTGACTCACGCTGAATGGCATACTATGTCCCAGCAGACAGACAAAAACACTCCCCCAAAAATCCCACCCCACATAGGAATCGAACTCACATCTTCTGCTTGCAATGGAGAAGCGATTAACCACTACACCACAGACGCTAGAGTTTATTTGCTCTGCAGTTTAAGTAAAAGTGCTTTTACGTCGTCAGTTATCCTCTCCAATGCAGCAGCAATAGAAAAGTTTTTCTTTTATTCCGTTTCTTTATTGCACTACGTTGTTGAAAAGTATTTAATTTGTCTTGTGTTTATGTACATCCGAATCTGTTTACTTTTTAAATTAAAATGTGTGTTCTTTTTCTTGTCCAATGGTGTTTTCTCTCGTTCCTTTTTTTTCTGCTTTGATTGAAAGAACTGTTTGTCTTGTGGTTTTGGGTTGTTTTTTTTTTATCCATCCCTATAATCGGACCTGCCTTAATGAAAACCTGTCCATGACAATAACCCGTGTAGTATAAATGATCATTTCCCACTTCCCCCTTGTGTTTTTTTGTTTTCATAACACTGTCGAAGATGTTCCCCTGTCTGAGAAAACCACTTCCTTCCTCCCCAGTGAGTGTTTGTACTTTGTTTCAAACTTATTCTTTTTTGGTGTGGGTGGTTGCGGGTGCTCTGGTGTGCTTTGCTTCTTCTTTCCTATCAAACATCTATCGTCCTTGATCTCCCCTTCTTCTTTTATATGTTCGATACTCTCTTGTAACACCTCTAATCTTCTGGCGCTCATATGACCTTATACAGTTGCGAGCGCCGTAAAACCGCTACTAAAACTTAACTCTTTTTTGGTTGTCCAAACAGAAAGTGAGCCCTCACTGTTCTCCATGGTTCAAGACTTTGTGCAGTTGAGTCATGACTGACATCAGCTATGTGCAACTTGCCACTTGCCACAGAGTATGGGACCTTGATGCGGATCAGGAGAAATACAGCAAAGTCTACTTAAAATGAAGACTGCAGGACCACAGGATTTCATTGGGTTTAACCGGGTTTTTAGTTTAGAAAGGTTGCTCAAAAAGGGCAAAAAAATATGTGATTTTATAGATACATATATTTCTTTCGGTTTCCTTCTGTTTTCGGATTAACCATGTTTGGTTTTAGTTGACTCCGCTGGTGTCTCCTTTGCTCTCTCTTTCATTGAGGGAAACAGAAAGGAATTATAAATAGCACGTCTAAGTGACTGCATCTGGAACCAAAAATTTATGTTATTAATTCAAAGGCAATGAAATAAGGCACACTGTGTTTTTTTTAAACTACGGCAACATGAGACTTCCCTATTTAGAGTTAAATTTAAATAGTGTTTTTGTACGAAATTGTACAGTTGACCTCTGCTGTAACGGGACAGTGGGGACGAAAGTGATGCCCCTGTTAAAGCCGAGTCCTGTTGTTATAGGCAGGGATCAAGTTTAATACTGCTACTTATGATTAAATAAAACAAATGGGATCATTTTCATTACATACTAAACTAGATAAGTTACCACAGATTTATCACTTTATTACCCCTTTCTTTTGTAGTGATATATTTTTACTCCACATCTTTAGCCTCCTTTTTCTAGTATCTTTTCTTCCTATCTCATGGGTTTTAGATGCATGGGTAGCAATAATAATTTATTTGTGTTCTTTTGTAGCGCACATCCTTGCTCCACGGTCTGCATGCTTTACAAGTAGCAATTAGGAAAAGGAACACACATAGAAGTGTGATTGATATAGCAGCGAGTAGACTATGTACTTTTCATTCTATCATATTAAATATTATCTATGATACAAGTCTTGCCACCCCAAGGGGAAACAGTATAATGATGTTTTGCTTGACAAAGGCCACACAAAGTCACTGACTGGATTTTCATCAACACCAAAGTGCATCCACGTCTCCCCTCCCATCCCCTGCACACACAGTGTATGACACATCATAAAATGTTGTGTACACAAACAACTTCTAATGAGGCCTGTTTTGATTCACGTAGAAGCAACTCGCTGTTTTGGATGTTGTTTTGCTTCATTGCTTTTTTGCTACTGTCTTTTCTGTTTCCCGTTTGCTTGCAATAGGATTTTATTGATGGTTTGACCTCTGTTAAGGTTGAACATGTCTCTCTGAATACCTGCTATGAATGCACTTTTTCATTAAACGTTATAGGAGACTAGATTTGAGGATTTATTGTAAGCATGCTATAGCTGGAATCCTGTTTTAGCTGTGACTATTATAATATGGAGCCCACTGTATAGGTTTAACCCCCCCCCCCCCCCCCACACACACACACACACAACACTGTAAGGTTATTTTTAAAGATTGGCTTTGAATCTGAATTCTAGTTATAGGATTTTGTCTATGGTTTGACCAAAGTTATGGTTGAGGATGTGTCTCTGAAATGTCTGCTATAAAAAAGAGACTGGATTCGAGTATTTATTATAAGCCTGCTTCAGCTGGCATCCTGTTTTAAACGTTACTGTTATAAGTGGGGCTCACTGTATAGGTTTTTAAAAAACCCTGCCACACTGTTAGGTTATTTAAGAGGCAGGCTTTGAGTTTGAAACCCTCAAAATAGAACAGAAACCATTGCTAGTGTCCTCAGTACTTTTACATTCCTGAGTTCAGTTTATCACTTTGCACATGTCAGGACATTGTTTTATGCATTTCTTCTGTGGTGGCTTTTATCGGTGTGGCCAAGTTACTATATTATTTAATATCCATGAAGCTTTCTTCTTTAGTAGGGTATCACTGGCAGACTTTATTTCTCTGTGCAAACTTCTGGAAGGATAAGACTTTTTCTACAGGCAACCAGTGCTGGTAGGAAGTATGGAATATAATACTAATATTAAGCCCATATCTCGTTACAATCTGTTCAAATGTTCTATGCCCAGAAAGCAAACATTTTCAAGAGTAGGAAAAAATAAACTCTTACTTTAAAAAAAATTGAACCTAAATTATGTAGGCTGAAATTTTTCTTCCCTTTTCTTTTCTATACAATGTATATACAATTTGAATTTAGAAAAAAGTATTTCTCATACACTTGCAAGCGATAATACAGGTTAAAAAATTGCTTTACAATTTTCAAAATTTTGGGCTCTGTACATCTGAACAATACTGATGATTTGTTCCTTGCAGACAAAAAGAGGGGCATCACAGTGAAATCAGGCGCTAGTCGAAATATAATGAAATCGAAAATAAAAGGACATTTTTTCACAGATTAGACAATTTGTATCAAAGGCTCATCGCCTTTTTTGTCCTTTTAAAAACATGTTTTTGTGTGGATTTTACTGAAAAATGTTGCTTAAAGGCACAAAAATTGTAAATTTTCAGTTTCCGAGGATTCTCAAGCTATGGAAGTCGCCATATTTGGCAGCCATTTCTTGTTAATTTTTCCACTAGAACCAGGCTACTCCACCTCCTTCAATGGCAAATATCTCGACTTTTATTTACGATAGATTTATATTTTCTTTCTTGAAAGAAAGACAAACGAACAATCTTTAACTGTAAGAAGATACCAATAACTCAATGTGCCCAAAAATTGACGAGCGCCTGATTCCACCGTGATTTGTCTTTTTCGCAGTTTCACAACAGTGACCTTCACTTATTCAAATACTTGTTTGAATGTTTGCTTCTATTGTCTCTGTGTTCTTTTTCTGGAAATTTCCTGAATTTTGAAAGTCCTGGTGTTTTTGCTGACATGGTATACATAGGATTTTATGTTCTTTATTACTTGTGATATATGTTAATGTGTCTCTGAGGTTGAAGTACAACGAATCAGGGAAATTGTTGCAACATTTTTTAGTACATTTGTTATTTGAATACCTCGTTGTTGATGATGGCAATAAAAGAAAACCTTTGAATATTGGAATCTCGAAACTCAGTTTGTCTAGTTTGTTTGTGGATTCTTCGTTTCTGTTATGAAATGGGTTATGATACTATATTTTAAGCTGTACTATTCAGAGTGAAGTGGAGGTCCTTGATGGCCCATGCCAGTTGGCAAGGCACCAGATGATGATGATGATTTTATCTATGCTGATACAGAAGCAATTTATTCCGAACTAAGCCGATGTATTTTTACAATCATGTTCATGTTTACACGTTGAACTTAAATAACATTGTGATGATGATGATGATGATGATGATGATGTACAGCTTTAACTTTAGTTTACCAACTCATATCAAAGCAGGTAGACTCTTTTTTATCCTTTTTTTTTGGGGGGGGGGTGTCTTGATAAACTTTTGGAGCTCCATGGCTTTCCTTAAGTGGTTAAAAGGGGTAAGAGGGAGACTGCTCCGCACACTCAACCTTTGTGTAGTGAGTGGCATAAAAAAGAAAACATTTCAGAGAAAATTTTAAACACATGCTTTACAGAAGCAAGAGATTTTACTGATTTGAACGGACATGCTCTCGTGGACAATTTCCCACTTTAAAAAATACGGTACTGTTACAATAGACAACATCAATGTATTTTTATACCAGCTTTAAATAAGCTACAGAGTTGAAGTACATATTGCACAATTATCAATTTTTATACAATTTTAAGTCAAGCATATTGCGAATAATCCTTCAATCCTAACACTCACAGGGTATACACACACTCACTCACACACGTATACACTCACACACACACACACACACACACACACACACACACACACACACACAAACAATTACACAGAGAACAGAGGCACTTCTCTCCGTTTCCTCTCTTTTCCCCCTGCCCCCCCCTCTCTCTCTCTCTCTCTCTCTCTCTCTCTCTCTCTCTCTCTCTCTCTCTCTCTCTCTCTCTTTCTTATTTCTTTCTCTGTCTTCTCTCTCTCCCTCTCTCACAAAAAATTGCACAAATGATACACACACACACACACACACACACACACACACACACAAGCTAACTCACAACGACACATAGCCACCTGATATAGAACAGCATAAACAAAAAAAAATTTACACCGAAGGAATCATTGTACATGTATGTGTATTGGGAATGTCACTCATTACTGATTAAAGCTTGCTAGAAATAAACGGATTTTAAGCGCCAGTTTGATTTTCGATTATAAAGTGGTGGTATGCTGGTAATGTAATTCGTTCCACAGGGAGGGGGCGTGGTTGGAAAAAACCCTCCTTGTGTTCTTCTTCTTCTTCTCGATCGCATCACACTTGAAGTCCCCCTCATATACTTAACTTTCCTGAAAAGTAGGTTTTTCAAGTATTCAGAGTGTATTTTTTTCTGCTTTGCAAACAATGATGATGATGAGTTGATCCTGAGGAAGTCTACGAGGCGAAATGTCGAGCAGGTTTAACAAGGCTAAATACTTAACATTTTATATATCATGTATGTATAGTTATATTTTTGTATGCAAATCTATCAAGACTCTCCCTGCCTTCTCTGCTTTTCAAACAATGATGATGATGACGATGGTGATGGTGATGATGGTGATGATGATGATGATGATGATGATGGTGTTGATGATGATGTTGATGATGACGATGATGATGATGATGATGAGCCCCTCGACCTGGCTCACAATGAGTCACGTCCTGCCCGCCCGCTCGGTAACTAGATGAACATTTAACATGTAACATTAACCCTATCCGTACGTCGAGTTTTACTACCGTACCCATACGACGTACGGAACTCTGCTGAGCCACCTCTTTCAAAGAGGAAATTTACTCATTAATCCGATCCGTACGCTTTACACAGTAGTCTGTCAAAATGATTTTTTGAGGAATACTGAAAGTTTATAAAAGATCTTCGTACTAGAAGTATTCTTAAATGTGAAGAATACAATCCCGGGGGAACAAAATGACCCCCGGGCGTACGGATAGGGTTAAGAACTTAAGGCCTCCTTTGCTAGCCCCCTTTCCTTAAAACAGAAACCGCGCTACATTACGCTACTTCAGAATTACAAAGTTCTATGATATGACATTCTTGGCCGTTTTGAGTTACTGAGGCCATGAGATCTGAAATCAAATGATCTATCTGCTATATCAAACTCGTAAGATTATTATAAGTCGTTATCAAGATATTCGAAGAATCGCATTACAAATAGCTTGACATATTATGAAACTCAATCTTTTTTTAACACCAAATTCCTCAAAACTAGTTACTGAGCAGATAAAACTTTGCAAAAAATGTTCTGATGTAAAGATTGGTCGTACTCTTACTCTCAGTTGCCCCTGAGGAAGCCTACGCATTGAACCGTCGAGCCGATTTCATGAACCACATTTTAGATATTTCTTATTTATACTTTCTGAAAATCAATCAAGACCCTCCCTACTTACTCTGCTTTTTAAACAATGATTATGACGATGATGATGATGATGATGATGATGATGATGATGATGATGATGATGATGATGAATGAATGATCTTATTAACAAGACAGCATAAATTTTAGCAATCATTTTAAGATTCTAATTAATGTGGAAAGTAGCGAAGTATTCAGACACACCATTTTTACCCACAGCGAATTGTACATATACAAGCCTCCAAAAAACAGCAGTGAAAAGTATAAAACATTATATGCGCAGCCATCATTCTATGATTGAGCATCAGTCTAGCAGCTGTTCAAAACTTTGCTCAAACATGTAGGAACCCTTGAACTGTTTACTAAACTCGTGGTCCCTCGTAAACCCTAAGTCTGTAAGCACTTCCTCAAAGGGTTTGGAATCTATACGATCCTGCAAGAAGGCTCCGAACGCGAAGGGGATTTTGGGATCAAATCCTCCCTGATCGTACTGTACTTTAATTTGTCGAATAAAAGCCCGTATCATCTGCTCAATTTCTTTTTTCTCCTCCCCAGCAGTAGGTTGCCCTGAAATATCAATCGAGACAAGAAACATCGCAGGCGAGCCATAACCAGCCATGATACCAATAAGTCCACTATCAATCTCCTCATCCTGAGCGTCATTTTTCGAGCCAGTGTTGTTATCCATTTCCCCCTGCTGACGTTCTGGTTTTGTTCTTCTCTTCGAGAACTCAAGAAGCTTGTTAGAGGCTACGATGTAGGGCGATATCTTGGCGAGGTGCCTCACGTTGCTGCGGCGAGTGTCGTAGAACCAGGAGATGCAGGTGAAGAAGCCTTCTGGGAAGAGGAAGTTCATCAGCTGTTTGTCGTCGAGGAGGTCGGAGAAGTGGGTCAAGGTCACTTCAGATACAATGGCTGCGTCTTCTGTAGGGCTCAGGGCTCCCGCGGGCATTTCGTGCATGGAGTCCACGGTAAATATGTTCTGGGATTCATTTGTTGTTGTTGTTGATGTTGTTGTTGTGTTATTGTTATTGTTGTTGTGTGTGCGTGTTGGGGAGGGTGAGGGGAAAAACACATGAGCAAATGGTTTGAGTTTGAAGATACAAATTGAGGGCAAGCTGTTCGTTCACTCAAGAGTTCTCTAAACCTATAAAGAAAAACTTTTTCAGGAGAGGAAACAAAATTGCTTTACTTCTTTTCAAAATTGTACTTACAAGATGTATCTTTTCTTGCTCCCCCCCCCCCTCTCTCTCCCTTCCCCCCCCCCCCCTCTCCCCCAAATATTTAAAATTTGAATGTCCTCGAAATATTTCTCGAGCACATACAATTAACAATGTCAAGAATTTTAGGCTCAGTGTGGCTTACTTCCTGAACAGCTGGAGTACAAAATAGAGGTTTGTTTTTTTGGCGTTAAAACACCGAAGTCCTGTTACAACGAAAGGATTTCAACCCCCACCCCATCCCCTTTCCCCTCTTTAATTCCATACATTGATACACCTGGTCGTTACAACTAAGAATGTATCAGATCCAGTGAAGCTGGTGTTTTTAAATATTTCCCAGGCCCGTCTGTGGTATAGCGTTGGGTGCTTCTCTGTCGCATGCATAGAATACGTGAGTTCGATTCCCGAATGGAATATCTCCGCCTATCTGCTATGATACAACACTCCTCTCAGCTAAAGATCTTGTCAGTTAATTTGTGTTTGAGAGCATGCAATCCGCACAGCCTGCCCTGTATGCTTCCCGGGAAGTCAAGAATGGCCTAGTTTCAGATTTGTCTTGCAAGTGCCGTGAAATTCTTACCCTCTCTCACACACTCTGTCTGTCTGTCTGTCTGTCTGTCTGTCTGTCTGTCTGTCTGTCTGTCTGTCTGTCTGTCTGTCTGTCTCTTTCTCTCTGTCTCTCTCTGTCTCTCTCTGTCTCTCT